CTTAGCATTTTCTAAATCGATAAATAGAAACAATTACATTTTTTTAAATTTATGAAAGCATTCTTACTTTACTGCATTTCTGGCACAATGGATGCCAGGACCCAGGTGCGGAACCAAGAGCAGGCAGAGGCAGGTGGAGATTACAAAAAGGTTTTATTGACAAAGAAAGTAAAAACAAACCAATTTAGAATAGGGACAATGAAGTGGATGGGACAACAGAACAGGAGTAAACTAAATCTAACTCCAAAAAGTGGCGAAACTACAAGAACCTCGAAAAAAAACTCTATGTAACAACAGAGGGGGAATCCAAGAAAAAAAAAGAATTAACTAAATTAAACTAACAAAACATTGATACTCACAGGATGGGGGAATTAAACTAAAGGGAGCAGGCACGTTCAGGGGATCGGGTTCCCGCTAGACTAACTGGAACTGGTGAAGGCTGGGGAAAAGGCAGAGCGAGGCCAGCAGCAGGCACAGGCAGGATGAGGGTGCCGGGTGGTGTTGCCAGGATACCGCAAGGTCCACTAGGGGCTTATGGTATGTGCCACAGAATCTCTCACTTTAACGCTTTCCATTCATTGTCTATATGAAATGCAGTTAAGGTCTTGGCTATTTTATGCAAATGAAGCATGTCGAGTGAAGGTTCGATGCCTCACAAAACTTTTGTACAACCTCTAAACTAGCCATTGTTAGACGAAAGGAGGACAGATTCAGCAACTGTATAGCTTATTTCTCGCCCCAAATATTTTCAGAAATACTGAATGCTGAACTGTTTTCGGAATAAAAGAGAAAGTTTGCAACCAAGCCACCATGTTAATCTGACAGGACTGTTTAAAGTAAAGGTAAGCGCCTGTCATCACAACACCTAGTAGCCTGCTAGTGACACACCTATCAAGCATGCAATATCGGTAAACAACGTGTTGCCTTGTATGTAAAAATACCCCAGTGGACATGGACCATTAGGCAGAGCCAGAGGCCATTACTGCAGGCAGCCAGGTCGGACCCAAGGTGACGTGCGGGCTGCTGTTGCAGTTGGGTGGACGCTGCTTGGGGCAGGCCGGCAGGAGACTGGTTAGGGACCGGCAGAGGACTGCAAGCAGAACAAACAAGAGTTAGATCTTGCAACAAGACAACACCAATGATGCAAAATGGCCTGACAGACTATCTGTGGGATCAGAGTCAATGGCGAAGAGTGGAGGGATGAGTCGGAACTAATAATAATAATAATAATAATAAACTTTGTTTATATAGCACTTTTCAAAACAGGGTTACAAAGTGCTGTACAGATTCAAAGAGAAGTGTAAGGAAAACAACATTAAAAGAAGTAAAAAGCAAAAAATACATAAATAAATAAATAAAAAATGGTGAAAGTGAAACACATAAAGCATGAAAGACAATACAACAATACAAAAATATATAAGAAAAATAAAACCCAGTAAAAGAAGACAAATAAAAGACAATAAAGGAAGGAATAAAACAGAAGATAAAATGTACTGCCCTTAATAGTGCCATCAAACGGAGTAAAAGTCCACTCATAAAACAACTCCTGTAAAAGCACATCTGTATAAATGTGTTTTTAAAAGAGTTTTAAAGGAGGATAAAGTGCTTGCAGATCTGATCTCCTCAGGGAGACTGTTCCAGAGGGTGGGGGCTCTTACAGAAAAGGCCCGGTCACCTTTGGTCCTCAGCCTTGAATGTGGGACGTGAGCAGAGCCTTGGCTGAGGACCACAGGCTACGACCGGGCACATACGGGGTGAGGAGATCAGAAATGTATTGAGGTGCCAGTCCAGAGCGTGCTTTATAGGTTAACAACAAAATCTTAAAATCTATTCTACAATATTAATTTTAGAATAGATTTTAAGATTTTATTGTTAATCTGACAGGACATTGGAAGCCAATGAAGGGAAGCTAAAACAGGAGTAATGTGATCTCTCTTTTTGGATTTGGTGAGGAGTCGGGCTGCTGCGTTTTGGACCAGCTGTAGTTTGTGAAGACTCTGCTGGTTAAGAACAGTGTACAGAGAGTTACAGTAGTCTAAACGAGATGAGATAAAAGCATAAATAACAATTTCTAAATTATGTCTGGATAAAACTGACCTCACCTTCGAGAGTCTCCTAAGCTGCATAAAACAAGACTGCACAACTGAGCTGACATGCTGGTTCAGGTTAAGGTTTTCATCAAAGATGACCCCAAGATTTTTACATTTTGCAGCTATATTACAGGATAACGAACCTAAGTATGTTGCTGCTGTGGCTGAACCAGGACCAATAATCATTACTTCGGTTTTGTCTAAGTTGAGCTGGAGGAAACTTTGAGCCATCCAGCATTTAAGGTCCTGGATGCAGCTGTTCAGAGATTGTAACTGATTAAAATCATTGGGGTTAAAAGACAGATACAGTTGTGTATCATCCGCATATGAGTGAAAACTCAGGTTGTGATTGCGGATGATTTGTCCCAGGGGTAACATGTAAAGGGAGAATAGGAGTGATCCAAGGACCGACCCCTGGGGAACCCCACAGGTCAGCTTGATACAAGAGGACTGTGAGCTGCCAATGGCGACGCTAAAAGACCTGTCATGCAGATAAGAATGAAACCAGTTTAAAACGGAACCAGAAATGCCAACCCAGTGTTTCAAACGTTTCAGTAAAATAAGATGATCGACAGTATCAAAGGCAGCACTCAGATCTAAAAGAACTAAAACAGAAGATTTTCCAGCATCAGCAGCAATTAGCAAATCATTAAAAACTTTAAGTAGTGCCGTCTCTGTGCTGTGCTTTGCTCTGAAACCAGACTGAAATGTTTCAAAAATGCCATTATTGTTTAAAAAAGCAATTACTTGTTCAGCCACAATTTTTTCAAGAATTTTGGAAAGAAAAGGCAGTTTTGAAATCGGTCTATAATTGCTCAAGCAGTTTGAGTCTAGTGATGCTTTTTTCAAGAGTGGTTGAACTATTGCTTTTTTTAAATCAGCAGGAACAGAACCGGTTAAAAGAGACGAGTTTATTAATTTAAGAATATAAGGACTTACGGAGTCATAAACTTCTCTAAGAAACTAGGTGAGCAGATGCAGGTGAGCCGGTGCCTGCAGCTCCCTCCAATCCCTGCAATAATCAGACATGCTGCACTCACAACTGGACTGCCAGGAGAGAGGGAGACAGGAAGAGGGAGAGGGATAGAGAAGGGGAGTGAAGGAGAGGGAGAGAGGGCTAGGCAGGGGTTGAGGCCGGGGCTGGGGCGAGGGTCCCAGTCTGACAATTTCTTCACAGCTGTCTAAGACTTTTGCACATACTACGTGTGTGTGTGTGTGTGTGTGTGTGTGTGTGTGTGGGTGCGCGCGCACGTGTGTCACCGTATACATTTAAATTTTTTTCTCCAGCTAGCTAGAATGAATGATAGGTGTCTAGAGGTGCACTTTTTGGCAAACGGTTTTGGTCCATGTACTGTATATGCAGCATTTCTGAATGAAGTAAAAGAAAAATAAAAGTAAAGTGTAGTGAACACACGAAGTGACGAGAGAATAATTCCACAATATTTCGCTTTGTAAATGGTTGCATTATTTAGCACAGCAATATTTTCACAGCAACATATTTACAAAATAAAAAAGTTAAATGCCAAATACATGACACAATAACTCACAGGACTGATGGGCAGCTGGGCAGTACTTGCATGCATTATTTATTGTCACAACAGTTAAGTTGATGACTTGTTTACAGGTTGGAATAAATGTAGTGTAGATAATATAATAGATGCACATGTTTTTACAAGCTACTTGGCAGGTAGGCTGGTGCTACATTTTAAGAACTTGCCACAGTTCTTCTGTGGATTTTGGCTGTCTTAGTGCCTTCTGTCCCGTCATGTTATCTCACACTGACTCCATGATGTTGAGATCAGGGCTGTTTGGAGGTCAAACCATCTAGATGTTGTCCCCATGAGGTAATTTGATCTGGACTCTACGAAACTGGACACATCAACACAACACCAGCAGACACAAGACTATACTGAGCACATGTAGGTGAAAGTGTAAACATTCATAAACAAATAAATTATAAAATAAACAAAAAGATAAAGAGTTCAAATTGAGGCAGCGTTTGTGGTTTCATCCTGCAGTGCAACCCATGAATTTTAGGCTGCTCTCTCGTAGGACTTCTTGTTCCTGTGCCTCAAGATAGCTCATTATGACCCTGACTGCATGTTTGGTCTTGGTTGCCATGCTTCAGAATATTTTTTTTTTTAAATAAACAGATGCCTTCCTGATGGTGATAGAGGAGAATCTGCCACTACTTTTCAACATTGAAGAGACCAATAATTGTGATCAAATCCCAGATTCCATTTGCAGAAATGCAGTTCAAAACTCCACCATGCTTCACTGTTGCCTGCAGACACATCCTTGTATCTCTGTATCTGCGGCCCTTGGTTGAACAAACTGCTTTCTGGTAGAGCCAAATATATAATTATCTGACTCTTTAGTCCAAAGCACCTGCTGTCATCATTTCTGCACCCCAGCTCTTATATTTTCATACACTGGTCAGTTGCTTTGTTTTGTTTCCACAATGGAGGAATTGGCTGTTGCTGTAAGTCTTTAATGAGAACTATTTCTGACCTGACGTCTCCAAACTATAAATGGGTGTACCAGGGTGCCTTTAGTTTCTGTCAGTGCTGAGCTAAGGGTGTTGCTGAACATCTTGAGATTTTGAAGGAAAGCTTGATGTATGGTCTGCTGGACTCCATGTCCTTGTTGAATTTCCAACCCTGTGTCTTTGTGCTTCTGTATAAAAGCTTGCAGAATAGATATGCATATATCTGTATGCTAGGAAATTCCTACTGATACAGGATGACCCACTTCTCCTATTTTCCGTTGATACAGTAACGTAGAAGATATAAAACAACTGTCTAAAACAAATGTTTTTTCTAAGTGTAATTTTTAAAATATATGTATTCATGTATGAATTTTTTGGACTGTAGCTAAACGATGTTCCCATTTTTTCATGATGGTTTACAGGCATTGCTGGCCAGGTATCCATGGATGTTAATGGTGACAGAAACGGCGATTTCTCTTTGATGGCCATGACCAATGTTGAGGCAGGAACCTACGAAGTAAGAAGAAGCAAAATTGCAAACTTGTAACGAGCCATCCCAAAGTTATCAACATCTTCTCGAACTGACAGGAGATTGTAACTGGAACTTGATAATAATACAGTCTACTAACTTACAGGTGGTGGCCAACTACTTTGGTGTAAATGAAACTTTTCAGCTGCTGCCTGCCTTTAATATTGACCATTTCACTCTGAGGGGAAGACATAAAACTCACCCAGAGAAGCCAGATAAATCATGTAAATATACCCTATTTTTCAATGAAATTTTGGAAACTTAAACATGGTGCATATGATAGAGTATGTTTTTACCAAGTATTGCTCTTCCAAACAGGTGGACTCGGAGTATCGGCTTTGACTGGAGTTATAGTCGGAGCTGTTCTTGGAACTGTAATGCTTATAGCATTCTACTTTTTCAGGTAACAACAACAATATATGATGGCATGATCTTCATATGTATACTATTAAGGTCATGTAATGTGGCACCATAAAGTACTGTTGGCCAGATCTCACTGTGATTTAAGACAGAGGAGCTCTTTGCACATCTAATTCATGAAAGACATAGGTAGGAGAAGGATAAGCATATTCAAAATTTTCAGAAAGACTCCCGCACACTGTCTTAACTTACAAAAATACATTTATTCTAGGGATGGACTTTAACATGTTAATTTCAATTAATTAATTAATTACAGAAAAAAATAATGCGTTAACAAAAACTAACGCATGTATTCGCACTTTTCTCAGTTCACCCATTTCTGGCACACCAGTAACACTGATGCACACACTCCAGCCTGTAAGTGCCGCTAATGCACCTAAAGTTCATTTGCCACCCGCGCAGACGATGCACAGGATGCACCGAGTGATGTCAGCGCACAAGAAAGTTTGGAACAGTGATGAAGACAGGACGCATTGCTTGGCTTGTTGGCAGAAGGGTTTTTTTTCTTTTTGAGGCCTGATGCTCAGCGTCCACAGGGGTGATTTCTCCTAAATTTGGCAAATTTGCATAAAGTTAAAGTCAGTTCTACTTTATGTAAATGAGCTTGCAGACGACGCTATGACGCCTCGTCGCTCAAAACGCCACATGCCGCTCCAGAACATATTTCACTACACAATGAACGTGAAGCGAGAAACTGACAGATTCTGTGGACATGTAACATGAGGCAGCTTGGATAAGAGCATGGTGGTGTGTAAATCATACAACAAGGAGTTTTGAGACAAAAAGTCTTAAAATGTTGAACCTTATCGCTATAACTGCACTGAGTTTGCACTCAATCTCTGAATGTAGTAGACAGATGAAAAAATCAACATTTTTGTTAAGTTCACTTAAATGTCCATTCATTGATTCAGTCATCAACCAAAATGTATTTGAATTAAAAAACTTTGATCATTGTGTCAAATATTGCTATTTGATAAAAATGATTAATTAAGATTAATTAATTACAATGCCTCTAATTATTTCCATTATTTTTTAAATCGTGTCCCACCACTAATTTATTCACAATGTCTCTGTGCTAGATGGTTATCAGGCTTAGATGCTGATTGTATTTATATATTTTACTGGAGCAGTACAAGTAAATTTATTATTTGTTTAAGAAGACATTTCTATTGACCAAACCATTTGCCTGATGAAGGTCTAGCACTGAAAATATGTAGTTTTGCAAGTTTGACAGTGTGCTGTGTCTTTCTGGATTTTTTTTGACTAGGCCTTATTGCCGCTCAAAGACTGAGAAACAATTTTTATTTGAATTGAATTGCTTTATTCTAGAGTTTAGCATTACATTTGGAAATAACTTTGACATGACTTGTATAGTTCTGATAATCTATTCTATTATTTTATTCACATTTGAATGACATGTTTATAGCTGAGACCATGCAAGGCTAGTGGTAGGACAACTACACAAATGAAACAGACCTTAGGCCTCGGTCACAACACCAATCGTCGAGCTCCTACTGCCTGTCTGCGTCCAAAATACATGCAAAATGGTATGTGCCATGCAAGTCCGTCTTGCAAACTTTTGAGGTCGCAGACAGCTCGTAAGCACGTAGGGAGGAGCTTTGACATGTCAAAAAGATTCTATAAATTCTCTGCGAACAGCGACACGGCAAGTGTAACTTGCTCCCCCTTCAAAGGTACTGTATGGCTACAAAGCTGAACCTTGAAGATGGGGACATGTAGGTTAGCACGCGGCTCTTTGTACTTGGCAAAGAGGCTGAGCAAGTGTTCAACACTTTTGTGCTCGCGGAGGATGAAGATGCTGACAAGTATGAGACTGTGGTGGAACAATTAAACACCTACTTCATAACTGAAGTGAACGTTTTCCACGAAAGGCCTCATTTTTATCTCAGAGCGCAGAAGCATGGTGAATCGGCACAGGAATAAATCCGCACCCTCTACGAGCTAGCTGAGACGTGCCAGTTCGGTCCGGCGAAAATAGAGAATATTCGGGATAAACTGGTCATCGGGTTGTGGACAAGGAGTTATCGGAAAAACTACAACTGACAGCGGACCAAACACTGGAAAGAGCAGTGAAGATTGTGAGACAGTTGGAGCAGATAAAAGGGCAAATAAGCCAGCAGGCTAGAGCTAGCTTTACCGATTCTAGCTACCTCAGTGAAGTGGCGCAAACACATGCACGCACAGCTCCTACCCCACAGCACAGAGCAAGGGGGAAAAAAGCACAGCAGTTTCCACACCGCGAGCCCAGAACACCGTGGCAACAGGGTCAAGTGCTTCAGGTGCAGTAAGGATCACCCCAAACATGCAGCCTGTGCAGCCAGAAATGCTCAGTGCAGAAACTGCCATAAGACTGGACACTTTGCCGTTGTGTGTTGCTCCACCAGAGTGAACGAAGTAACCACGGTGGGGCAGGAGGCGGACCACAGTGGCAGACATTTTCTAGGTGAGATCAAAACAAAGTGCACCTACATTGCAGACACTAATACACCATGGACTGTTAAACTAGCCATCAGAGACACTCCTGTGACCTTCAAGATTGATCCGGGCGCTGATGCGAGTGTGATGTCAGATGCAACTTACTACAAGCTCAAACACCTGCCCCGGTTAGCAAGCGATGACATGGACTTTGACAGCCCAGGGCGAAAACTTGATGGTCTAGGACAGTTCACAGCTTTAAAAAAGTACGAAGGCCAACAATACAAGTTCATCATACATGTGGTCAAAACAAACAGCTGCAGCAACATCTTTGGCCGAGCTGTCGCAGTGGCCATGGGACTGGTGAAAAGAGTGGACGAAGTCCAAAGCATGTTTGATACAGATGTGGGCCTCTTGAAGATAAAGCCTGTTAAAATATGCCTGCAAGACGATGCTGTACCGTACAGCATGAACATTGCGAGGAGAGTATGTGCACCCATGCTCCCCAAAGTAAAAGCTGACCTGGAGAGAATGGTAAAGTGTGGCGTCATTGAGGAAGTAACATAACCAACGGAGTGGTGCACCCCAATGGTCCTGGTCCCCAAACAAACAGCTGATGTGAGAATCTGTGTGGACTTGAAAAGACTGAATATGGCAGTTAAAAGGGAGAGGTACGTCTTACTTACTATAGATGACATACTGCCACAACTGGCAGAGTCCCGAGTGTTCTCCCTGCTCGATGCGGCTAGTGGCTTCTGGCAAATCCCGTCGGAGAAGGAAACAGCCAAGCTGACCACGTTCATCACTCCCATGGGAAGGTACTTCTTCAAGCAGCTCCCGCAGGTCCTGCAGATCCTGGAGAGTGCAGGCTTGAAGCTCAATGACAGAAAGTGCTGTCGGTGCCAAAAGCAGCTGAACTACCTGGGGCACCTCAGAAGATGGCATCCGCCCCAACCCCTCAAAAGTAAGTGCCATCACAGAGCTACAGCCACCAGATGACGCACCAGGCCTCTGGAGGTTCCTGGGTATGCTTCATTATTTGGGTAGATACCTGCCCAACCTGTCAGAAGTGATAAAACCCCTCAACGACCTGCTGAAAACTGACTCGGTGTGGACCTAGGACGCAGCACAAGTCGACGCTTTCAACAAGGTGAAACAACTCATCTCTACAGCACCCACACTTGCGTTCTATGATGTAAACAAACCCACAATAGTGAGCATAGATGCAAGTAGCTTCAGGCTGGGTGGCATGCTGCTACAGCGCCATGTCAAAGGACTGAAACCAGTAGCTTTTTGCTCCAGAACATTGACCGATGCAGAACAGCGCTATGCGCAGATAGAGAAAGAGTGTTTGGCGGTCGTTTGGGCCTGTGAGAGATTCTCCAACTACCTGTACAGATTAGACAGCTTCACAGTGCACACAGACCGCAAACCACTAGCCCCACTGATCAACAACAAAGACCTTGACGTGGTTCCCCTGAGGTGCCAATGCCTGCTCATGCGTCTGATGAGCCACTACCTGCAATACAGAGTGAAATATCAGAACTGACCTGTGATGTTTCAGTCTTCGAGGATGCAGCTCACACAGCATGTCGCCCTCCAAACTGGAGCAGATCAAGCAAGAGATGAGCACTGACATGACCTGCAGGTGGTGAGTAAACTGGTGACACATGGGTGGCCAAAGCATGTGGGTAGCATCCCAGTACAGGCCAAGCATACCACCAATGGGGTAACAGCTTGTCAACCTCAAAGGGACTTCTGTTGTATGGAGATCGAATTGTTATCCCACACAGTATGAGAGGTAACATAGTCCACCATTTGCATGATGGGCGTCAGGGCATCACTAAGTGTCGCGAGAGGGCACGAATGAGTGTGTGGTGGCCCAGACTAGAGAGGGAGATCCAACAACTGGTGACAAAGTGCCCGAAATGAATGCAAATCAGACCGACACAGAGTAAGGAGCCTCTGATGACAACGCTGCTACCTCAAAGACCATGACAGAAGGTCGGAGCTGACATCTGTGAGTATGAAAAGAGAAACTACCTGATTGTCATTGACTATTTCTCTCGCTATTTGGAAATAGCACACTTACCCGACATGACTAGTGGAACCACCTATGTGCGACTGAAGAACATCTTCACCAGGTGGGGGTGTCCAGATGAGCTACACACAGACAACAGACGACAGTTTTCTAGAAAGGAGTTTTAAAGCTTTTCTGTGGCTTATGACTTTAAACACATCACCTCCAGTCCTTATTATCCTCAGTCCAATGGTGAGGCTGAGAGGGCAGTTCAGACAGCGAGGAAGATTCTTCGACAGGCCGACCCGTTCCTGGCTCTTCTGAGCTACAGAGCCATGCCGCTACAAGCCACGGGTGCCAGCCCTGCACAGCTCATGTTGGGCCGTCAGATTAAGACAACTGTGCCCACAGTTGACAAAGTGCTTGCCCCAAAGTGGCCTGACTTCCCAAAGGTGCGAAAAGCCAACGCCAAGGTGAAGGAGAACTACAGACACACTTACGACAGGCGCCACGGTGTCAGAGCACTCCCACCTCTCAGAAAAGGGGAGAGAGTAGTGGTGAAACTCGACGGAGAGTCAGAATGGGAGACAGCAGGGACAGTGCAACAACCACACACAACACCAAGGTCCTATCTGATCCAGACAGACCGTGGAACACTGCGGAGGAACAGGCGCCACCTGCGCCCAACCTTCCTTCCTGTTCAACAGCCAGATGAGACAGAGAGCACACAGGCGAGTGAACAACCATCATCACCCCTGTGCTCGCCTCCAGATTCACCTGTCAGAGAGACTGTTCCAGCGGAGCCTGGGGGACATTATCAGGCTCGGGTGACTTCCAGAGGAAGAGTCATCCGTCCACCTGACAGATTTAAAGACTTCGTATGTACTTAACACATAGCTTGCCAACAATGGAGCAGAATAATCTCCAGCAGCTATGGAGGTGAATCGGCAGTCTACCCCATAACCTCTGGGAAATAATAGAGAAAGAATGAGAGAAGGGACTGAATGCAGATGTGCACTGTTAATGTTATTTTTCCTGTTGTGTTGCAGCACTTTCCTGCCTTGTTTATAAGTGGGTGACAAGTGAAACATGTTAAGTTACAGAGTGTTCCACTAACCTACATTGTAGGTTAATCAGACTTAGGTTAATTGATATTCTCTCCTATCATTACCTGCCTCGGTTGTATAATTCTTAGGAGAAGAGACACTGCAGGTTTTCTTGGTTATTGTTTACATACGTTTATGTCTATGACTTAAAAGAGGGGAGATGTCCTATGAGTGTGGTATCCAGCGGACTATTTTGTGTACACGCGCACTGATCTTAGTTCATGTGTACTGATAACGATAGCGAAAGTAGTTCCGCCTCTCTAGTTGTAAGTTGCTGCAGGTGTGTGACTGAGGAACGAGAAATAAATAGCTTCAACAAGAAGCAATATTGCTTGTTATTCTTTGGGGAGATACCTTACACAACCCCACGCCAGAAGTACAAAAGGTGTGCTCACGGCACACGCTCACGTTTCGCCAGTGACCATTGATTGCATTATTGCTTCAAACAAATAATGGATATACCATAATCTAATCAGATGTACAGCTCAGGACCCTTGACAGCACAGCGCTACTTGGCGTGGGTGCATGTCTCAGTGCAAGGGCCGTTTCTTCTGTCACTGCCTCAGTATGAGTGGATGAAAACACCACATCTGATTACACTCATTATTCATCATCAATGGCACAGCAGCCAAATGTTTTCACTCACACAGAATACAAGCAGCGTTTTCTTACATTCCAGACGTGATAACTCAGTTAGCAAATCACTGATCCCAATGCATAATAAACACTGAAATGTACTTGTCACAGTGTCTTACTGACCTAATAAAAATCCC